CTACAGGTGCACTTCAATTACTATGTCACTACAGGTGCACTTCATTTACTACATGTATGTCATTACAGGTGTATTTCAATAATTACTTTAGACTGACAGTGTGGTAGACTGTGTTACTAGTAACACTCTCTTCTACCATAGTACTGTACACGTACCTACCAGTACATTACTTGTACTTTTACTTAATGTATATGGGTCTTTCCATGAGGTTGGGGCACAATTTGTGATGGTGTCCATTGTTACATAGGTTTCATTAAAATGAACAACTATTTCCCAGCATGTAGATTCCAAAAGGATAAAAACGTCTTTCAAGGCTCAGTATAGAGGTGTGTGTTATTTTTACAGCGTAAATGACCTACATGTACTTTACAGGTCATGACAGATGGTAAAAGTTACCCATGTAACAAGGACACCGTCAAAGATTGTGTCCCAACCTCACGGAATTACCCACATACACAGAAATTGGTAGATTTTGAAGGATCCAAGAAGGTTGGAATTAATTTCTGAAGTGCTTTGTTGCACTTTCTTTCAGATTTTATCAACAAAAAGCTGGCCGGTGATGAGGAAGCGAGGGCTTATTTGCCAATAAGTGAAGCCACTAATGACATCTACAAGAAGGTTGACGATGGAATACTCCTGTGGTAAGTAGGCACGGTGCTTCAATGTAAGAAATTCGTGGACTCAATTGCCAGAACTTGCTTGTTAAATTAATGTTTCAGTGCCTCCTGGTTCTACAGTTTTATGGTTGAATCTCTGAAAGGAGCAACATGCATGTACATGTAGAAGTCTTCTTGGAGTGCACTTGAGTCCTGCTTGGCCTCAGCCCATGCTCCATCCTACAATCTTGACCTCCCCGCCCCTGCCCCCTTCTCGATGCTGTCATTGTTTCAGCTGAAGATAACATTGACCAGGGAGTAAGGACTCTGGGGAGTGTATTTGCACTGTGACATGTCCCGACCATTTTGGTCAGGATTGTACATGTAGATTTCACTGCACTTTCAAGATCTTAACCACCCACTTGGTTTGTCATTTTGACCCCTCCTCAATCTTCAAAACATGCAAAGTCAACTACTTTGCAGAACCCAGTGGTTTCTAAGCACAGTTCAGTCGTCAAGGGCCATGGGTCCCAATCATTAAGCAGTAATGGCTAGACTGTTCACTTAGCCGAGCCAGAAGCTCATATGCATAGAGGATAAAGTATTTGTAGAGGATAAAGTATTCGTACACTTGGGTCAGAAAAATTTGTTTAATTATCAGCTTTTTCTGGAACTTGATCTGAACTGTAGACCTGACAGCAAGATAATCAACGTGTCTGTAGCAGATACCGTGGATGAGCGTGCTCATTTTAAGCATGTTTACAGGTGTCAGAAAAGTTTGTTGAATTATCAGCTGCTTCTGAAAGTTGATCCCAATTGTCGACCCAACAGCAAAATGATCAATGCGTCTGTAGCGGATACCGTGGATGAGCGAGCCATCAACCGAGGCAAGAAGCTGAACATCTACACCAAGCAAGAAAACCTGACTCTTGCGTTGAACTCAGCCCGTGCCATTGGTTGCAACATCGTCAACATTGGTGCTGAAGATCTGAATAAAGGAACACCTCATCTGGTTCTGGGATTGCTCTGGCAAATCATCCGTGTAAGTAATGAGTCAACCTGTATACCGTTGATGTGGTTGAGTCCATTACAAGTCCTGTCACAAACTTGTCCGGTCATTTGTAAGGGTGGGACGTTTACACGGTAGACGAAAAAAATGCAAAATCCGTTTACAGATTTTCCCATTTAAACAGAAGCGTCCCTTTTTGAGGTTTGACGTTTGACTGACGCAATTTGGCGTTCATTTTTATTGTAAACGATGCCTGTGAAATGTAATCTGATTTTCAGAACACTTGCTGCTTGATCATTTTCAAAGGACTACCATGAATTCATCACTGGAACTTTGTGTCAACTATTTACATTGTGCATGCATACAAATTGTTGTGTTTAATGTTTTCAGTGACACCGTGCTAAGGGTGAGACATTTACACGTTTAAATGGTATGGGGAAATCTTGCAAACTTTTTCAAACTAAATGTTAATTCCCACCGTTAATCACAAGCCCAGTCAGGAGTAACCGGACGAACGGTGACAAGCACTTTTGTCACCGTTCATTTGTGAAGAATTTGCAAGGACTAGTGATTGATTTGACCATAACACTACTTACGGGTATACCCATCTACTTGTATATCACATTTGAAATCCTCTTCCTCTTGCATGTATTTAGAGTATCCATGCAACTTATACACACTTAAATAAAACACTGCAATTTCCAAAGTTGTACTTTGCGTTAGGAAGATGTTGATTTTAAACAATGGGTTTTGGTCTTACAACAACGTACATGAATATTCATAACACTGTATGCTCAGTGTTTGTCCAAGAGAGTGTAAAAAATTCACAAGCTTACTCAGGTGGGACTCGAACCTAGGACTCATTTATGGTGGTGTAAGGCCAATGCCAGTCATTAAGAAGAAAGTTTTGCAAATTGTTCCCCTGGTGATTTCACAACCATTTGATAGGAAGCCTGTGAAGTGAACGTTTGAAACTGCGAAGTTGCAGACCCACTTTTAGACTGGTACTCCTATTATATTTCTCCTCTCTGGCCAATATTTCCTGGGCAGGTTGGGCTGTTTGCCAAGATTGATCTCCATGAAGTGCCTGGTCTGATGCGATTGCTGAGAGAGGGTGAGGATATTAACACCTTACTCTCTCTGTCACCAGAAGAGCTGCTGATCCGTTGGGTCAACTACCACATGGAACAGGCTGGTAAGATCCTGGGACTGTACCTTTGTGGGTTTGATGGAGGCATGTGGCCTAGTTGTTAGAGTTTGTGGCTGACGACCCTGGATGAGGGAGTGGCTAAAATGCAGTTGTTGAATCCCTTTGGAATTTGGATTAACTGAATTCAGTTTCCATTGGGCAGAGAAAACTTTGGCAGAGTTGACCAAATATCATGAGCTGGGTTTCTTCAAAGTGGGACACGATGCAAGAATTTTATCCCCATTTTTTTCCACAAGCATATGAAGGAAATGACATTTCAAAATCTGAGCTGTACAGAGTCATCTGGGCTTCCAAAAATGGACAATATCCTTCCTTGGAAAGGCTGTTTGTTTACCTGAAATGAATAGCAGCTTTGCCAGGCTTTCAGAGTAATGGACCACACAGGATCAGCAGAAATACTTCAACCCGGATTACCACAATCCATCATTGTGCAAAAGTTCAACAGCTAAAATCCTTGTACTTTAAGGAAATGGAATTCCATGTAATGAGAGTGAATGGGCAAATCTGAAACCTAGTTAAACTCTTCCAAACACTGGTTTGTCGGAGGAACTGGAAGGATTTTGGTAGTGAGGATATTTGCACCACTCATACTGTCTTTTCCCCATTTTAATGGCTTTCTGCCCCGTTTTGTCACCAGAAATAAACTGTTTCGTTGACCCATCAGATCTATCACTCTGGTTGTTACAGTGTTCAGCTCAAAATCAAGATTTCATTTGGTGTTTGAGTGTTGGATTATTGTCTTCAAAAGCATTACACTTGAATGAAATATATACACCGGTAGTTTGGACATGATATGCATAATATATGATATTTATAATATGATATGTGTAATAGATGATATGTTGCACATTATGTAAAAGTATATTACTCGCACAATATAATCTATGATGTACTCGTATGAACAATATATGCTACATTCTACAGTACACCCTCTCCGTATTAAAGTCTATTTCATGGAGCCACACTGTATATGTAAACGTTGATTTCCTTGTCAGTTTACATGTACGTTTCCTCTTCAAAACATAAGCAAGAAAAAAAAAGGAATTGTGTGGTGTGATATGAGCTTCCTTTTGGACAGGATGTTGGCCTGTCAGGCCTCAGAGAAACAAAGACTTCACTCCCACTTGCTGAGAAATTTCCTTTTAAGGCTGAATGGAGCATTGATGAACCCTATTTGGGGACGTAGTAAATGATGTGGAAGGGAGTGTTGTCTTGATTAGATTTGCAGACTATTGTCATTTACTGCCTCAAACTCAAGACCTTGAGGTAAACCGAGCCGTATGGTAGCAAATTCAGATCAGGATATGCGTCCTTGGACAATTGAGATTCATAAAAACAGTTTCATATACATGCATGTACATGTATATGACACCGCTCCAGTAGCATGGAGCATAAACTTTAACCTGAATATTCTTAGAGGTTCCGAGCATATTTTGCACAATCTAACGGTCCAATATACATGTTTATTAGTCAGCATGCATATCATAGACAAGTCCATACACAAGACCAGTCACAAGTCCATATACAAGACCAGTCGCAAGTCCATGTCACAAGTCCCTGTACAACTTCAATCATAATAGGGTTAGCAATGACAAATTAGTGCTTTTGTCATAGCTCTTAGAAAATGCTTGTGACTTTGCTTCAGGCTAGGTGACTCGGGATGGACTCAAAGGGACTTTTTTCGGACTCAGTTGAAATATTGTTTGGATTTTTTTTTCAAAGTGTGACAGTAATGTACTTGAAGATATAGATACAGATACATGTACATGTTAATGTTCAGGCATGAAGTACACAGTTTCATCATCAAGCCAAAAAAATACAGTGTGGTCTTATGTACTGTACATAGAGTGGATTCTGACTGGTATTTGGTCTGATATTTATTATTTTATTTGCAGGAAGCCCCCGCCGAATTAACAACTTTGGTGAAGACATCAAGGATTCTGAGGTCTATGACAAGTTGCTGAGACAGATAGCTCCTAAAGAAATCCAGCTAGGTCATGTCCCCCAGTCTGCTGTAAGCTAACAGATATTAGAGTCACTAAAATGAACTATGTTGCAGTGGAAAGTATAACCTTGAAATAAGAAATGCCCTTTTTCTTTTCAAAAGGAATTCAGTTTCATTTCACAAAATGTGAACAACGTTCCTAAAGTGGGAAATTGTTTTCACAGATTCCCCACAGGTGGGAAATGATTTTCACAGATTTTGCCAGATGTGAGAAAACATTTTTATTCTACGGAAACATTCATCTCTGAAGGAAAAGTGAAATGATTATTTTCTCCTTTGTAATGGAAGGTGACTATTACACCTGATGTTGCCGTCATGAATGTGGTTTTCCCTGGAGAGTGTTTGATACTGGAGATTCCAGGAATTATTGGTTCTATTGTTTCTTTCATTACAATTACAGCCCAAGTGCGTCATGCGTAAACATGATTTCAAAGCCATTAACATTTAGTGTAACAGGTGCCACTTTCTACCTGTCCTGGGATTAATTTGGCAGGTGTACAGTTACATGTTTGTTGACTTGTAGGTGGATGTTGATTTCTATACCGTCTGCCCTAGAATTAAATGCAAGGCATGTTTCAAATTGCACAAATCTCTTTGTGGAACGATGTTTAGCCTGTGAAAAGTTCAACCTCTGCAGTACAGAGTTTTGAAACGATGCATGAACTATTTTGAAAGTGGAATAAATATCCTGTACATGCACACACCGGTGCGTGGAGATTGTAAACACCAAGAAATTTATTTTCCTCTCACTGACTTGTATGTGTATCAATCTCTATATGTCCCGTGCTAATGAGCTTATAATGGAAGCTTGAATACGTTAAAACTCTGATAACATGTATGCATGAAACCACACTGGCTTTTTAGATTTAGATGAATACATGTCATGAAAACCATGTTTTCTTGTCAGCACAAGTTTGTCCAAGCTGTGACATAGTTTGCAGGAAGTGCACATCACACACTTGTTTAAGATTTGTTCTGTATTGATGCCCTTGGGTTTGATTTTTTTTAGCCTCCACTGGACAGGGCCGAAGCCGTGCTGGACAATGCAGAGTTAATGAAATGCAGGCAGTTTGTGACGCCTCAGGTTGGTATCATTAATCAACTTTCACATAGAATGAATTACCTGTGGATATGCTGTATACTTGTCCCTTATCTACATGTGAGTGTATTACTGTGTGTGTAAGCAGAGACTTCCATCTGTTGCCAACAGAATGCAAACTATATTCAGTGCATCTGCTCTGAGCGGAACAAAAAAGGGCATGTTTGTGTATGAAACTGATGGTTGTTTTGGTACCAACTCACCACATACATGTACATG